TCGATACGGCCACTCCAAAACATACAACGCTTCTCTGCTGTCAAGACCTGAAAATGGATTTCATCTTGTCAGAATGAATCATAATAACGCGTAACTACTAATTTTAATGTTACCTTAAGGTTTTTGAACTTAAGGATGACATTTTCTCCCAATTTATTTGGCTTGGGATCCATAGTTATGGCCATTATCCTGGAGTTGATATACCTATGAAGAAATTATATTTGAAAATGAACCAAAACCAAGGAATCAACAAGCATATGCTCTCGCTAGATTCAAGCAAATTTTTATTGAAGGTGGAATAGTCTGAGACAGGCAGGGAGACTTCCAACCTTAGTTGGAACTTTTGACAGTTTCTAAGGTCAGTTTAGTTGAACTTGGGTCATACGTGTTTCTGCGTTGTGTGTTTTTGGGGAAAGGGACATACAATAAAATGAAAATAACATCACCTTTTGTTGACTGTTTTATTCCTGGTCGGTTGATCTGTCAGAAGTAGGTCATGCAGATCCTTGTACACAAAAGCCACCACCAATGATCCTTAAAACCCCCAAGAATCAACAAAAAATAAGTTATCAAAAAAAAAAATAATAATAAACCACAAAATTAAAATTTTTATCATGACATTAGAAGAAAGGCAAATGATTCAAGAAAATAGACTATGTAAACTAATAAACCGCATTTTTTTTAGGATTTGTTTCAATACAGAAATTTCGATTGGAGAAACCAAGGTAACTAAAAGTTGTAAAGTTAACACGCCGGTTAATACGAACCATTTTCCTCAAAATTTGAAGAAGCGATATCGATTCTCGCTTGCCATCGTTGTTCCTCAAAGTGGAAGTAACTCGCATTCTGGCGATAGGCTTTTTGAATGGCCAAAACTGTCAAACCGAGCGAGAAGAAAGGTTTCAAAATTTTGAAGGATTTCTATTCTGTCTTATTGATTGTTTAAAGATACTTTTAATTTCCTTCACCCGAAAATTTTTAAGTATCAAACAAATTAAAAAAAAAAAAAACAAAACAACCAGATATCGATAATATTCAACAATAACGTTTCAGGCTTATAAATGAGTTCTTACATTATCTAGGAAATTATGCCGTTCAGTCGGTCTGTCAGCAAGTCATTAAGTAACAGAGAAATAGACTTTAAACCTAAACAAGACTGAAGGCCGCAACCTCACCCATTTTTGGGGACACGATCCTTTTTGAAAGCCTCATTTCACTCAAGTGCTGCTTTCCATAATTAAGAGCAAAATTCTCGACGGCCTCTGCCACCTCAAAGATGGATTTTCTTAGTGTTTTAACCTCTTCCGTGTTGGCCATGTCTTTTGCGACGTTCGCGATATTTATGGTGAAATTTTCAAACACACTTACAGCCTCCTGCAATGACGTAAAATATTTCCAGGTCATTAACTAGCCAGTCTCATAGATACAATTGATATTAAGAAGGCGGAAAAAGTCTAGCAGGAGGCCCTCGATGGTGTCCAGGGTATTCATTGTCAAAATAACTCTTTTAGGAGCCTGAATTATTTTCTCCCATTTTTCACCATTTTCACGTCATATGGCTTGAATAGTGGTTTATCCTGAAAGATCAGATATTTACTCTTATGGTTTAAATAGATATATCAAAGTTAAAAGCCCTCAAGTTATAAAAATTGGATACCTTTATGGAAATATTTCTGGTAATATTTATTCCGGAAAATTTTGACACAGAATCACTTGCCTAGAATAAAAACAAAAAACAAAAAAAAACGAGTGTCACATTTATAAACAGAGAAGGTTCCGAAAAGCGACATGCATAGAAACGTAAATGACTATTTAGAACACAAACCAGCTCCTCGACTGTCCTTGGCGATGGCGATGGCGATGGCGATGGCGATGGCGATGGCGATGGCGATGGCGATGGCGATGGCGATGGCGATGGCGATGGCGATGGCGATGGCGATGGCGATGGCGATGGCGATGGCGATGGCGATGGCGATGGCGATGGCGATGGCGATGGCGATGGCGATGGCGATGGCGATGGCGATGGCGATGGCGATGGCGATGGCGATGGCGATGGCGATGGCGATGGCGATGGCGATGCTGGAGATGGATGAGAAAGGAAAATCTTGGATTAGAACGAGATGTCAATTGAGCTGTTTCAATGTTTTACGGCTTTCCTCTTAGCACGTTTGTATATTTTTCCAACTATTGGAGAGCGAATGACAGGAAACGCAAACGGTATAAAGGTTCGAAAATTCAAGCTTGTCATATCGCTCAATTTACAAAACTTGGATGAAACAGATGTTTTATAATAAGTGAACGCTTGTGAGGATCACTTTGGGTTCCTTTCAACACAGGTTTTGCTAAATGTGTCATAACACCATATGTCGCCAATGTTACGAAGTGCTCAACTTGAAGTGTGCTATGCCAACGGAAACTATTGGAATACATTACCTCGAACATCCCCGTTGTCAACAATGATGTGGGAGGAAAAGACAAACGAGCTATGGCTTTTGTTAATTGATTAGGTAGCTGGAGAAATGGTTTACTACTCGGCTATTAGCTTGATCGCGATACTCGCCGGTGTTAATTTCTGTACATGTTTGTTTGCACCTTACACCATTACATCTTCGATTACAATGATCACCGGTAAGTTTCGATTACATTGAGCACCAGCAAGTCTGTCGGGTCCCCCCCCTCCCTTATCATTTTGTACCTTTTATTTCTGAGGATGGGTTATTTGTTGTGCTTGGGACATATTCCACGTCATTATAGTGACCCATTCCTCTTACCATATCGTTGTGTAAAAGGCGGTTCAACTTAGTCTTGGTAAGAGTCCCGCCAAGAGTTTTGTCCATCGCTCACATGTACAAGTTAGGTGAGTTGAGCATATTCTGTGAACAATATTTCACTTTTAAGAAGCAAGAACAATTTTCCTGACACAAGTGGAAGACTTTAATGTTTCAGCACATAGTAGACTTTATGGTTGGAGTGTGATCTTACCTCCGGGAATCTCGCAAATATAGGCATTTTTATCATTCTGAGAGATACCATTAAAGAGGCTTCTATTCCTGGATATTTCCGCATAATCGTCGTTGCCATCTGGCTCAGAATCTCGCCATTTCGAAATGTTTAATTTTTCTCCACTCAGCCAAGTCCAAACCCCGTCTGTCTTCCGTAAACCAATGTGCCACGCACTAACATTCCAAGTACCACGCTTCTGAATCTCGTTACTGATAAACTGCCATTCTTCTTCGGTTTCGATGGAGACTAAGCCAAATCCCTGTTCGTAACAGAAATTCCTGTTGTCACACCAACCTCTTCCGCTTTTCGAAAATATGTAAGAGGAGTTTTTGACACAGGTTGCTTGGCACTCTATGGGAAAAAAAAATAAAGGACAAAAAATAGACAAAAAAATGTATACTGTTGTAACAATAGTGATAATTCTGATGGTGGAGACAAAGGAATAAATAAATAAATAATTGTTTACTGATCATAACAATAGTAATAACGATATAGATGAAGAAGAGAAAGTATATTTTTTTACCATTAACATTGATAAAAAAACCATGGGCATCAAAACTTTCTACCTCAGCAAAGGAAAAATTAGAATTAGGCAAGGTTTTAAAAGTGGAAATTGGGGAAATCAGGGTAATAGCACCGTTAGTCTGACTTTTTTTAATTTTTGCTTTCCAACTAACGTTTTTTAATCGCAAGCCGATGTAATTCCAGGAGGAAGTCTATCACTAATCATTTTGATAATTCAGTCAAATCCTTTCTTTTTTTCCGGTTAATTTTTATGGTACACAAATATTATATTGGAATTACACTGTCTCACCTGTTCCTGGCAATTCCATCATCAAATGAAGGATGACTGTAGAAGAGAAAATGAGATTGTTATGTCGAAAATAACCTTTGAAACAACTAAAAAGTTTATTAGATTTCGAGGTAGACTAGTACTAAAGCATTTTATTCGCTGCATGCACTTTAAAACCTACCTATGACTTTTCTTACCTTCCCGTAGGAGCTTAGGGATGCGTTTCATCAGGAGATATTTACATGACTATAATTCAAGGACCACCTTAAATTGGTATCTATCTCTTGCCTTTAATTTTGTTTAATTGAAACTTAAATCTAAAATGGAAATGAAAGGAAATTGCGGTAAAAAATGCCAAAACTTTAGACAGTTTTTAACTGTTCCTCGAAGTAACCGGGATGGGCGCTTATTCCTTTGGGCAACGATTTCACATGCTTAGAGCAAAGCAAATACTTGTGCCTTATAGCTTTGTTTTTCCCAGAATCATCACCGAGAGGTCAAACGTATGGATTAGACATTTATTTGTAAGTTCAAAAAGTTCAAAATTGTCGCTTCTCGGAACAGATAACTACAATATAAATATTTACAACTTATTCGATGCCGACATTTTGCGCGATATTATTCCAAGTCAAGAGAGTGCCGTTGGGAAACCATTCAAGTGTTCTTTATAACCGTCAGAACAGTTTAATGAGCTAAGAAATTTGTTGCTTAAAAAAGAGAAAAAAAAACAACAACAACAATAATATCCGTTTGGTAGGTGCAGCCTTCTGTTATTCCGCTCTCCGTCCGTATTTTTGCACTGTTGTACAGTGGAATACCGTGAGCATGTTCCATTGCCCAAATAAATGGCTTAAATGTAGTAGCGGAGGGATAAAAAAGTATATCTTTCGACAAATGACCCTATTATTATTTCAAAAAAAAAAAGACAAAAAAGTGATTTGAGTGGAGATGAAAATTGTAAATGAAGACAGTAAACGTAAAAATTTTGCTTTTTTTTCTCTTTTTCTAACTGGGTTGGAATCATTAATTTACCGTCTACTGGGTTTTGGCGTCCATTTAGAAAATAAAATTCAACAACTGAAACCGATAAAAAATTCGAGGATGCAGGGAATTTATTAAAGGGGATAAAAGATGAACCCGTCACAAGCTGAACTGTTGCTGACGGCATTTATTATGATAAACACTTGTCCAAACTGGCCCTCTGTTTATCACAATTATTTTTTCGACTTAGCGTTTTTATAAAATGAGCACGAATGCAACTCCCATTTCTTTTCGTGCAAGATTGTTTAAGTGAAACGTCTGAATTAGTTTTAGTCGACGAACTCAATTCGTTTTTTTCGCGAAAAAGATCATATATAGCGTCTGTTTATTTCTCGGTTGACTTATGGTCACAGCAGCTCCATGAGGTAGGCGACTATGTTATCGTGTTCCTGGAACGTTATATAATATTTCTGAAAGGCTTTGCACTAAACGTCCATTAAGACACAACAATCGTGAATTATAACTACCATTTCAATTTTAAAACCGCAAAACTGTTCCAAAAATAAAAAATATCTAGATCTAACCAGACACTATTTACTTAACATTTCCATAACATAATCAGAAGATGTAGTAGAGCTTCGGTTGTACTTACTCAGAGCAGAGTGTAAAAACAGGGCTGTGAACATTTTACCGGATTGAAGCCCAATTCTTCAAGCTTATGATATAGAGAAGTTTCCCCCAGCAGATGCCAGTACACTTATGCTATATAGTTCTTAACATGAAAACAACACCGACGCGACAGATTGTGTAACGTATTAAAACTCTTTTGAGGGCGGTAATATGACATATGATAATACTCGATCGCTTCTCACTGACATAAGCCACCACTATTTTTTTCCTTCATAAAAGGAACAATGAAGCTAAAGGCCTTTTCCACCAGGTGCAGAGGAATTGTTCGCTTCAGCAAAACAGGAAACTCACTATAGTTAGCTATATAGAAACAGCTATATTAGTTTACATTTTCTTACAGAGCAGATAATAATAAGTTGATAAAATACGTTTTTAATAAAACTAGTTCATGAATCATGTTTAAAGTTAGTGGTCTTTTGTAAATCAGTATTTTCCTACCGGAAGCTTTATCGAGTATTCGATCTGTTCAACTGCGCGGATGCAAGAAATTACCATCTATCCATCAAATAAATGAAGCTGCTCGTTGAAACTGATAACGTTTACATCGTATTTTAATAACTTCACCAGCGGGACTGATTCTATAATACATGTATGGGGAATAAACCAGGGGAAGTAGAAGTCCTCTGGTGAATTCATATTAACGCTGCATGTATTGGAACGACATGCAGGGGAATCCAGCATTTCTCTGAGTCTGCGAGAAACACAATAACATCGATATTTGTTTAAATAGTAATTGGGAGAGTGGAATAGCAAATAATAAGGAGGGAAGCTCGAGCGCTCGAAGGAAGGCGCGCAGAGGACACTAATAAGTGAAAACTTTCCCTTTAAAGAGACGAAAAGTGTCCTTTATGGCTCCTCAATGTTATAGACCAGTCTAGAAGGGGGGGGGGGGGGATGGGGAAGGGTAGGATAAAATTTACTTTATCTTTCCATAGGGTTCTGTGTGATATTCTTATCCTTCCTCATTGGCAACTAACAATCACTTTGATATGATTCGAACTAGCTCTAGGCAAGCAAATTGATATTCCGCTCGTTGATAAACTGGGCACTGTAAGTCAATGTCGCGAAAGACAATAGCATTCTAGGCGATACAAGACCGCCGAACGTCTAAGGCAATTGCGGAAGATTCGTTCAGAAAAAGTAGAATCCCCCACCGGATTTTTAGGTTGGTATGTTGCAGAGTCCGAAAACGGAAGTTCAAGGCAATCCGTATGGTTTACATACTCCATGATCGCGTAATAAAAAAAGACGCCTTTAAGTGACCACATGCCAAATTACGTCAACACTCAAAATTTTTCGCAATGCCGACCGCCAATAGAAACACAGAAGTGTCCTGCGGTGTCTCAAGAGGCTATCAGCAAAAACAAATTTTGCGGATAACAATCGAACAGTTGTCCGTACCAGAACGTAGTTAAATAGTCTAAGAACTCTTTTCTCTCTTTATCTTTCGTTATTCACAGTCAGTGATCTAAAGCACAAATAGCTGTTTTCTAGATTATTTAGAGCAGACTATTGGAGCCAGGGTACCTGGCAAGGGTCACTTGCCGACGACGCGACGGTAATTGCAACATTCAGTATTAAACAGCATGTCATTTTTCCCGTTCTGTGTGGTTAAAGACAGAGTAACATTAAGTAGAATCACAAAACGCTGTTTCAATTCATTTGAGTAACGCCTCTTAGTTTCTTATATATGTTTTTTTTTTCCATTCGCATTTTCCCATCCGCCATCCACACCTGCCATCTGCAGTCATCCGGTCCACGTTTTACAGACACCCGGACGTTTTGCCTCACAAAACACCGCGGTAGTTCTTTCTGGTGACAAATTCAAATTGACTACTCACAAGTTGGCAGGCTATTCGGTTGGATAAGACGTCTTTGATAATTACTCACGTGCGTTTGATATTAAGGAAACCTTTTATTTGAAATTATTGTTAAAACAGAAATGCTTAGTTTGACATTACCTACCACGTTACCACACTTATTTAATAACGATATAGCTGCTTCTCAAAGCACGCCCTTGTTCTACAGGAACAAGAAAATTTAAAAGGTTCTATCGCTATCTGCTTCCGTATTTTCTTCCGAAGGCCTTTGGGGAAACAACAAGCTCGAGTCACGTGCGAGAACTCTGAAGAAGTCTTTTTTTTTCCGGACTATGCTTGCGATACTAATAAACTCAACAAAAATTCATGTTCTAAAGAGAAATTTGGTACTCACTCAACAAAGTTATTGAATATAGGACGATTCCCCAAATCTGACAAGCCTTTGTCAACATCTCACTTTTCTGTTTGAGTTACGTTTCTCTCAGCCTTACGCTCAACCAATTCTAATCTTTTTTTCCCCAAATTTCCTTCTGGCCGAATCAGGTTGGTAGCAATTCTTCTTTGGGAAAACTTTTTTCCAGATCAGTCTCATGATAAAAGAATAAGCTTTCAGAGTGTGTTGTTTTGAGTCAAAATGAGCGTTGTGTTGCTAATCATTATGCAGGAAATTGGATGTCATTTACATTTTTGACGTCTTGTCTCCCGTTAAATTCAATTCTAAGAACTCAGACTTTTCACCTGTTTAAAAGAAAGCATAGCAAAAATATCAATTAATAGTGTAAGAAATCGTTTCTCTACGTTACTCATTATTCTTTTGAAATAATGGAGTGGACTAAAATGTTAAATAGTCATAAATAGTCAAGCTCGAGAGAGTAAATTTTTGGTATCGATTGTAAATGTCCACTCTTGCGGTCGACTATTCACCATTGCGAGTCTTTGTTTATTAAGCTATTTAAGAAACCATCTCGGTGATTTTAGAGCAGTAGCATAACACGAACTAACTCGGAACAAATATGGTTTTACTTAAAGTAAGTTTCTAATTTCAATTGATTCTCAAAGCTCAAATGACTGTTCTGCCTTACTTTACCTTTTTACAATGCTCTTCTCCATAAGTAGTTAGATACTGTTTGTATTTTACTTTTCATTTGGACACATCAGTCTGGAATTTCGAGGTATGCCGAGCAGACCAATTAAGAAATACCACTACGACATACAAAATGGGTGAGTAATCAACACTATCTCAAGGACATTTCGATTTGAAACCCCCCCATTTGTTATCGCGCGGCTTTCTTGGTTTTGCAAAATAACAGGTCAGTTACCAAAAATAACCACGTCAGCTTCGATAATTGTCCTAAGATTATTAAGGAAATAAGCCAGCTATCGACTCGCGTTATGAAAAATTATGGGGTGTTGATATTGTTCACATCTCCCTTCGAAGCTTTGTCTTTGGGCAAAATGTTCCCTTTTCGGACAGTCTATAAGCGGCGAAAATCATTAGCCTGAGGCGATTTATTCACAAATTAATGAGATATCAAAGATGCGTATCCCGCCAAAGAAGGAAGAATCACGCAAGTTCCTCGATATATTGTTGTACCTATATCTCTCTCGATGGAGATGTCCTTAAGATGATCGCGAGATAGCTCTGAAATCTCATCTATCCTTTTTCTAACATTACGAAAGGAGAAATGAGGTACAGACACATGGGGGCTCCGGCCCACCTCCTTCTAATTTATGTGAAAAACAAAGCGCTTTATTCGAAAGCCTTCATTTATAGTACTTTTGCATAGTGCTGTAAATTGGATCGATCTGCACCACGTATCACACTAAAATGATACATTATTTTTGCAGTGTTTAAATACCCACATCTAAATATGAAGGGTGGGGCAAAGGGGGGGGGGGGGGGGTTGAAATAGATCTAAAAACCTCTTCCCTTTCTAATGCCTTCAATTTTCCCTTAGCAACTGCTCTCTGGTTTTTTTTTCCCGGAAAACAAGTCTGATGAAAAATCTTTTTGTTTTTTCACGTTTACAGCGTTCCTTCACCTAAGATAAACTCAGGGCATTTCTTGCCCAGGTGCATCTTTCCCGAACATCGAAGTTAGTTCCATTTCTTCCTAGTAACTCGCAATTTTTAATCCGTTGAATCCGCTACGTTTAATCAGATGTAACTGATCCTGAAGAAATCTAAAATATTATTTCGTTTTTGTCACAAATTCAATTATTTGTTTTTTCACTCACTTATTTATCATAAAATTTAAAAGTCAGCTTTAACCGCTACTATTACCAAAGCAAATAGTATTTGCTATTTTATACGTATTTTAACTGCTTAAATATTATAAAAAGGTGACGCTATCGTAAAATGTTAGTCTAAAAATTGCCCACTAAAATTCAGAGAAATGCGTATCATAGTAAAGCTTAAGACTGTTTGAAGACACGTCAGTCTTGACTGCTTGACTGCAATGCCGCGACATTCCAACTAAATAATAGGAAATGATAGGAGGCGAAGAAACCACCATGTGAAAGTCAGACTGTTTTGAATTCTAACAGCAATCGACAGCCAACCTATAGGTTAGTTACTTTAAAGCAATTTAGTTTGCAGCTAAAGCAAACTTTCCCTAATTACGTATGAAGTAATTACTCTTAATTTAAAGAAAAAAAAGCTTGAAAAGCTCTTGCATCTAGCTTAAAAAACGTTAAAGGCTACTGACTTTAGCAAATTACCCAATCATTGCAGTAACTGACACCTTACAAATGACTTATTCACCAAGCTAAAGGCTCGATTTGAACGGCCGAAATCCTCCCGACAGATCGAAAATGAGCAACTACTACTGACTAACTATTACATTAAGCAATCAAATAATGGAGTTTCAGGCTTGGTCAGTGTTGAATCTAGTTCTTCAAGCTGAGTGTTTTTCCACCTCAAACTCATTGAAAGACTGCAATTCAGCTACCCACGTATCACCAACATCACTTGGATTAACCTGTGAGCTCCTCTTTGCGGAGTTTCCATTGTTTGTAGATGGGAAAACCCTGGTCACCTTCCTTTTGAATCGCTCTCTAATCTGCAGATAGACAAGCAAAGTGAACAAATAACGGCACCGATAGACATAGAAAGTAAGAAAATGAACCACTCTCACGGTATATTCAAGTTTAAAACCTCATTATATACACCATATGTATAATTAAACTTACCTGACTGTTTCGCACACAGTGAAGAACGAAAATCAGGAAACCCTTTAACAGAAAAAAAGAATGTTTTTCAGGCCAGTTTCGTTTTGTGATTGCGACTTGGGGTACCTATATTGAAGTTTATTTTCTTAAAGTCCCAAAGAACAACAAAGAGAATCAAATTATTTCTTGACTTGTAAGAATCTCATAGACAGTGGCATCGCTTTTTTCCTTTTCTTTTAAATTTTATCCTCTTTTGTCTGTGTCACATTTACAAATATCCCATCAACACCCTACGATTTATAATTATAAAGTAATCTCGACACTCAATGTGGATAATCTCATGCATGAAACTATAAAATGGTAATATTTGATACTCACCTGAGTAGAGTTGAGGATAGTAAAAATGTAGGAAAAAGCTTTGTGTAGTGGCGACAGAAGACCAAATAACCACGTGATACCCAACAGGGGAATCATCACCATGCATGCTCTAATGCCAACTCTGAAGGACGAAAACTTGTTGATCAATTGATTGCACATCACCCTCACAAACATTTACGGTACCCAGAATTTCTTTTCCCTAATTAATAACAACAAGCTCCTGAGGAAGTAAGACGTATTCGATTGTAAGGATTCTTAAAGATTTCACCCAATCTCTTGCAGGAACTGGAAACTTTCTTCCCTCTCTTTTTTTAAATTTAATTAAGAGCCCTTTCTCACCGTAACTGCTGACTTTGCTGGTCTCCTGTTGGCTGCATTCTAGTCATCTCCCTTATGACTCGTGTGAGTATCAAAATGTTGATCTGATAAAGGAGTAGATAAATTAAAAGCTTGTATTAAGGTATGGCTATTACACATTTCAAGTCTTATATCAGAATTACCAATTTGAATAAGCCGAATCAGAAACTTACCACTTCAATTGCAATCACAAATGTGACAAATATCCATATCAAATTGTTTGCTGAGGATATCCAACAACTTAAAAGGGGAAAGATAACAAAACAATAAAAAAAATTGGCAGCATAAGATCTGCAGTCAACGTAATTCGTAAGAAATTACAAAGCGAACAATGCGCGGGCGCGCGTAGATATGGAATTTCTCTTCGAGCGTTTGACTCGATAGCTCACGACTGGGCCCAGCGAACGATTGAGATGTCGAGTTGAACACGAGGAGATAAATTTCATATCTGCATTTCATATTTTCAAATTTCATATCTGCAAGCGAAAAACAGAAAGCTGTCCCGAAAGGATAAATGTTATGAGAAGGACTTTGAGGTAAAGTTAATAAAAATGTCAAAGCAAATTAAAAGAAACATCAAAACTTCAAGAAAAAAATTAATAATTTATGGGAAGAAATAGAGGAGAAAAAAAGAAAAAAAACATACGCCTCGTACAATTTGTCGCTGGTGTAACTCTGTATTCCTTCTTTTCCGGCAGCGATGCACAGTGAAATGGCCACCATAACTAAGGGAAAACCTATTACGAAATTATAAACCAATCAAGGCGACTCAATAAGATAAAAATTAAATTAGTTAAAAACAATTAAAAGCAGCATATCGTTAGTTCAACTGTATAATCAAAATACCCCATGACATGACGTGATACATGTGCATCTTGGTGTTAATGTTATAAACCTTTACAACAAACAGATAGAGATAAATTCCCTCGACCAGCATCCAACAGAAAGCGGCCATCAGAAGATACTGCATGATAACTGCTACTATGACACACACAGCCTGCACAGAGACGTAAAGAAAAAAAATTATTTTGTCATTTCAATGTTTTGTTTGATCATAATATATTTAATTTAATTGAAATAATGGAAAAAACCTCCCACCTTGTTCTCTGTGGCGTTTATTCCGGAGAGAAAAAATATTTGTCCAGCTCCTAAAGCCACAGCAAGACTGACGCGTATTTGAGACAGAGGCTGACGAACATCTCTGTTAAAATCAAGATATTAGAGCAGCAACAACCACACACACACACAAAACCAAACAAAAAAACAAAAGCAAAAAAAGAAAATGAGTGAAAGCAAGAGAGAGCAGTTAGGCAGATGAACTTGGACAGTCACTGATAACGAGTGATGTCCAAAACATTGGGTACGGATTAAGTTTCTAACTAGCACCAAGGCATTCCCTTTATTATTTTTTCTTTTTTTTGGGGGGGGGGGGGGGAGAGGGGGTATGACTACATCTTCCAAGGTATTTAAGGATGTTCTTCCTGATAATTTGATTACAGTACTTACGTAAGGAAAGAATATAAAGTTATTGTCGAAAGTATTCCGATGATGGAAAGGCTTAGCCCCACATACGTGATGATCTCCAGGATAGCTACGTCGTTCTCGGAAAGCTGCGTCAAAAACAAAAGCAAAAGGAGGCAATACTTAAATTAACCATACGGACCCATTATTAGTTTGGAAACAAAGTAAAAAACAATGATAATGATAATGATAATAATAATAATAATAATATTAATAAAGCTACCTTAGTGCTACCGCTGAAGTCAACTAAGACAGCGAAATGAGTCAAATGATTGCAACTGCAAACCGTTTCTTCTGAATTGCTCCTCGAATGATCCACATGACAACCTTCCTCTGAAAACCCATCTGGACTAAAAACAAAGGAATATTACAATATAAGAAATAACAATAACGATTTTCTTTCTCAGAGGGCACGGTAACAAATCCTACGATCTGATTGGTTGTTAGTTCGGATTTCCAATCTCTGCCCAAAGCCACGGTGACGATTACACTGATTACCGAGTACGTCATTACCTTCCATGGCATTATTCGTACATGTATTTCATTTTGCCGGCTGGGCAATATTTTTACAGCAAAAAGCCATAAGGCTTTTACCACTGACCTCGCAAATGAGGGTTTGACTGATAATCTCCAGTTTCTACACTCAACTTTGGACTAAACCCAAAAAATGATGGAGTTCCAAAGCATATTTAACAACATCTTTGTTTTTACCTATTTTTGAAACCACTCCAAAACATGCAGTGTTGTTCTTCTTTAACGACCTGAAAATACAGTTTACACGTATTTCTATTAAATCGATCCAACATGACACAGATGGAACGCGCTCATCTTTCTGTATTTTTGCTGTTACCTGAAGGTTTCTGAACTTCAAGATGGCATCTCGTCGTAATTTTTCAGGTTTGGGATTCATCGCTGCCGTCATTATTCTGGTGTTAACATACCTGCAGAGAAAATGTTTTCCTATGCCATCAAGTTTTGCAAAGCATCACACTGCATTTATATGTAAATGCATGATGCAGAAGCACACTTAATCATTTTTATCTTCGATGTAAAACGGTGATAATGAAAACTAACTTTTTTATGTGACTTTGAGAGTTTATTGTGTGGTAGAGAAAACTTAACGGTTAGTAAAATTTCTTCAAATGAGCTTCAAAATGGACTTTAGTCATGGCCTTCTTTTTTCATCGTTAAAGTTCTTATCATACCACTTAATAGGCTTCTCCTTATTTTGATTGGTTAAATTTGATATGGCATGCCATATAATTCAATACATGCACGCTAAGCACGAACCAAGTCGCAACTATTTCATCGTTTAACGTTACCTAGAAGTGTTAGTTTCTTTCCCAGTGGATTGATTTCTCAGCAGTAATTCATGAAGATCCTTGTACACACACCCCACAATCACTGACCCTATAAAGAAAACAACCAGAGTGTGGAAAAAAAGTCCTTCTAACGCCAAACGATGGGGTTAGTCTCAGTATAAACATGTTCGAAATGGTGATCGATCAAGTTCCCCTCTCTTTCTTTCACCAAAGAACTTATTAAGTTATAATACAGTATGGGCCATAATTTGTTTGACCCATTTATTTTGACATTTGATAACCCAACTGGCTAAACTACCTCATTGTTCCTTTATCATTCTGAATAAACTATTTGAACCCAAGACTCCACTGGAATAGATCAACTAAAATGCTTTCGTTCTTTTTTACTTTCCTATGACGTCAGTGAAAACACAGAAATGTTGTGCGTACTAATTATCATTAATTCAAGCAATTGACCCTACATTCTACTTGTTAAAGGGCGAAATCATCTACTTTGAATTTTGGGAGAACGTTCAACTAAGGTTTATATATCACGAGATGTTGAAATGATTGACTAAATAGGGTCATCACGTCGGTTTAACATCTTTTGCTTTTATAATATAAACGTCAAAACCATCGAAAGGTTTTTTGAGTTGTTTTGAAAAGGATAATAGAGATAAATATTAAATAATAGAGTAAATATTAAAGAGAAAAAATGCAATTCTATGATTTAGAGCTTAAAATGTGGTTAACGCAAACCTTTTTCAGCAAAATCATCCGAGGATATATTAATGCTGACTTCCCATTCTTCCCCCTTGAGGAAGAAGTCAGTTGCATCATGGCGGTAGCCAATTTGAATACCCAAAACTGTCAGAAGAACGCGAAGATGTTAGATGATGACTGGAATTCAAGGAGATGATTGTGGCATATGCAGATCCTCTTCTTGAAGGTCTACACACAGTTCTACGTTATCATTTTTCAAACGCCATTCGGGTTTATTTGAAATATATTATTGTACTGAGATCGTACTCACAAACTCAAAAGAGGAAATTGAAACAAAATTTTATCAAAACGAAAATCACTTCTCGTCAACTGCGCTTCACCCTTCTTCGTGCACCTACTTGCATCAAGCCAGACGAATTTTATGCGCCTTCGACTGCTTCAATGAGCCTTTCAAGAATTCACTTGTATCACTTAATATCTAAGGCCAGGCGGCAGAAAGACCATTCGGGTAGACAATTGGACAGTAGGTCAGTTACCAATAAAAAAATATTAACTCACCCATTGTTTGGCTTGTGATCGCTGTAGAAGGATTCGTTCCATTTAGATGGTATTTACCATAGTTAAGGGCAAATTCCTCGAAGGCGACTGCCACCTTAAAGATGGATTCTCTTCTTGTTTCTTCTCCTCCATCATTAAGTTGGCCTTTAATGGGTGTTGTGATGTTCATAAAATTATCGATAAAGTCTTCAAATACACGCATAGCCTCCTTTAAGGACCAAAAAGTTAACTTTAATCGTGTCGAACGTTATCACAATGAGAAAACAAAAGCGCACATCATAAGACTTGAACTGATTGGATATTGTATGATTTAAAAAGGAACGTTTTAACAGAACATCATTTAAGCAAATGAGCCACTCATCTTTTGAGGAGGTATACTTTCCTATATTAAATTCTCTTGATGCCAGTAAAAATACTGTATTGTCATGCTTTTGTCCCTGTTTAAAACGCTTGTGCAGCTTACGAACTGCAGCGTTGCACAAGTAACTCCTTTTAATTACCGCACATTTCATATCTACAAGTAATCTTAATCTTGTTATAAGGAGATATAAGTGCATTCATACCTTCAAAGAGTTATTTCTCCTGCTATCTATTTCACCAAGTTTAGAAACAGAACCATTTGCCTGTGGTAAAGAAAGACAAAAGCGTTGAAGAATGGCAGAAATTATGAAAATTATTGTTACAAAAGAAATAAAAGGAGAACCTAGGAAACATACCAAATTCTTAAGTACTTCTAACGTAGATGTCCAAATTGACGATGGCGGAGACGACGATGCTGCTGCCGGTAATGATGAAGATGCTGATGATTTTGTTGATATTGATTCTGATTCTGCTGCTGTTGTTGCTTCTGCTCCTGATGACGATGACGATATTGAAGAGGATGGCAATGGTGATGGTGAGAGTAATGATAATGGTGATGACGACGATGACTGCAAGTGATCTGTATGTTGAAGTAAAAGCTAGATATCAAAACAACAATGAACTAAAATTGAAAAGCAATGATAGAGCGCAAAGAATTTGGAATATGAACAATGAAGAAAGAGCTCACCAAGTTTAGAAACAGAACCATTTGCCTGTGGTAAAGAAAGACAAAAGCGTTAAAGAATGGCAGAAATTATGAAAATTATTGTTACAAAAGAAATAAAAGGAGAGCCTAGGAAACATACCAAATTCTTAAGTACTTCTAACGTAGATGTCCAAATTGACGATGGCGGAGACGACGATGCTGCTGCCTGTAATGATGAAGATGCTGATGATTTTGTTGATATTGATTCTGATTCTGCTGTTGTTGTTGCTTCTGCTCCTGATGACGATGACGATATTGAAGAGGATGGCAATGGTGATGGTGAGAGTAATGATAATGGTGATGACGACGATGACTGCAAGTGTTCTGTATGTTGAAGTAAAAGCTAGATGTCAAAAAAACATTTAACTAAAATTGAAAAGTAATGATAGAGCGCAAGGAATTTGGAATATGAACAATGAAGAAAGAGCTATTCTATTTTAAGACTCATTGACGTTCAATCGTGAAAAAACAAATTTTTACGTTAAGTTTACTCACCCCAAGTATGAGATTTATCTTTTCGCTGCACTGTTGAAATTTGAGTTGAGAAACCTTGAGTCGCCGTTGACGGAGCAGATGAAATTAAATCTGACCTGTATGAATCGGAAGAGCTGCAGAAGCCCCTTAAACATTTTGTGCATGTGCAGCGTTTATCTCCGCCATTGTTGGTAGAAAAGATTCCCTGCGTGAGAGGATATGAGTCCAAAGACGACATGAGACTTCCACAATAGTCACCATTCCCAGAGCATGAAACCCAACCTTGAGGGCTGGTCGGCCAAGTTCTAGAGATATGACATGTGACAGCGTCGCAGGTCTGTGTACAATCAATCGCGTTACAATGCATATTGCACATTTCTACTTTATCTTTGCATTGCTGTTTTCTGCATTGTCCCCCTCCGCAGTTCAGTTTGCATGTTTTAGCGTTGCAAGTTTGTTCACAATCCCCTCCGCTACATTCCAAGTACATTTCACAAAAATCTGTTTCATCATGACACACCTGTTTCTTACATTGACCCCTGCTGCAGTTTAGTTTGCATGTTTTAGCGTTGCAAGTTTGTTCACAATCCCCTCCGCTGCATTCTAGATTCATTTCACAGACGTCTCCTTTGTCATAGCACTTCTGAAATTTACATTTTCCCCCGCTGCAGTTTAGTTTGCATGTTTTAGCGTTGCAAGTTTGTTCACAATCCCCTCCGCTACATTCTAGATCCATTTCACAGACGTCTCCTTTGTCATAGCACTTCTGAAATTTACATTTTCCCCCGCTGCAGTTTAGTTTGCATGTTTTAGCGTTGCAAGTTTGCTCACAATCCCCTCCGCTACATTTCAGAACCATTTCACAGACGTCTCCTTTGTCATAGCACTTCTGAAATTTACATTTTCCCCCGCTGCAGTTTAGTTTGCATGTTTTAGCGTTGCAAGTTTGTTGACAATCCCCTCCGCCACAATTCAGAACCATTTCACACTCTTTTGCGATACTTTTGCACGTTTGTTTGCATCCTATTCCCAGGCAAGTACAAGAATTAGCGTTGCTATGAAGCAGATGGCAAGAATAATCGTCTTTAGTACAATACAAGTCAAACACATCGTTGTTGCAAACGTTACCGTGCACCCAAAAGCCTGGAAAAAAGAAAGTAATGATAAGAATAAAAATAGAGAATAATACATGGGCGCGCAGAGATATGGAATTTCTCTTCGAGTGATGTCGAGTTGAGCACTTGTAAGTAGCTAATTGGCCGTATCAACACACGTAAAAAAAACGATATTTTTTACAGCTTTTCTCAGGGCCGGAAATCTTTTTTATAACACTGCAGTTTATGTGATAAATTTAGACAATTATATAATATATAATAGACAATAGTTCACTGAGCCCTCTCACTCCCCCGCCAAACGAAAAAAGAAAAAAAAAAAAAAGCAGATTCATGAAATTGTTGAATAAATCTAGCGTAGAACTTTCATAATATCTATACTATTTTAGTATGATGTGAATAAATATATATTATTCATAGCAATTAACCTTCTATTTGCAGCAATTATTCTGCCATCCTGAAGCCGTTAGGCGTCACTGACTGATTTTCAAATTAAAATATGTATATATTTATCTACTTGTTATTGTTTTTTTTTTTGTAATAATTTTTGCAAGGGTAGAGCGTTACTTCGGGCCATTTTGCAGGTTGCCCTGGTATGATTAGAGATTGACGCCGTGTTTCCATAACTACGCGTAAAGCCTTAGAATCGAGAGAATGATATGTTATTTCTGAGTAGTAAGAATATTTCCGCTCAATGGCGCTGAGTTGCAATTGTTAACTTTTGTTTATTCAACTTAATGCAAGATGAAAATGAATGAATAACTGAAATAAAAAAAGAGTTATAAACATTGAAAAGGAAGTATAGAAAACTGCCTTTCCCTTGGACAAGAGGACTTGAAATGGTGTTATTAAGCTAGTAGGCTCAGTAATTTGTTACAGATGAAGAGACAGCTGAATGTCAAATATATCTTTTGTCATTCCTGAATTCGCATATCCTCATTTGCATTTTTGCGCAAAAATTATTTATTTTCATGATGGACCCCTGAGTCAAATCAGACTTAAAGCTTGTGGCACAGGAATACATTGTAAAATTAGTTCCTTTAAATATTTTCTTGAAATAAATTAGTCTTGGCTTCCTTATGGATGTTGGTTTGATTAGCTGGGATGAAGAGCAAACTTTTCTAAAACCATTCTAGCATTCTTTGGTGGTCTCACCCAACGCTTTTCGGAGAGCCATAAGAGCGCCTCCTCTAGGTATACTTGTGATAAATATTAAACAAAAAATCTCTTTTGACAAAAACTTTGATACTCACTCAGGAGAGCACTTGATAACAGGAGTGTTCCCCATATCTGGCAACTTCTATTCATCATCATTTTTTTTTTCGTTGTGTAAGTTGAGCATCTGTCAGCTGAACTAAACACAGCCTTTTGGCAAATTTTCTGTGGCTCAGGATCGGTTGATATTTTCTTTCTCAGTGAGGAAGGCTTGTGAGAATTCTTTCTTCGGAGATATTTGAAAGATCAGTCTTATGATGTTGTTTTGACCAGAACCAGCTGCCTAATGTAAGCATAAGCGGGAAATTGAATGTCATGCAAATCATTGACGTCAGATCTTTCTGCTTAAATTCAGTGATATTTCCCCTTTTTGCATCCGTTTGAAATTTAGGTAAAACAAATACGATTAATATAAAATTATCATTTTAACAAACTTTCTCATGAGAATATTTAGAACTCTCTCCATAAATGTTAAATTCATGTGAGTATTCATGTTAATCGCAAATAATTAATGGCCATTGCCACCCTTTGCTTATTTCGTCACTTAACAACGATAACAGAAGGGCTTTTTAGAGCTCTTACATCACAGAAGTCGCTTCGAGATAATTACTGCTCGGCAAGTGTACCATAGGAGATTGCTTTACCTTTTATTGATATTAGTGCCCGTATGCTGCAGAGATGAAGATCCCGCCTGTTTACGCAATGCACCACAAATCTTCTTTATCAATTATACACAAAACTTTTTTGGTCTATCAAAATTTAGGCATAGTAGTTCAAATTGCTTTATTAGGTATGTGGGTTTTTTTTATCTTCACTGCATTAAAGTTTCATCATCCAACTCACAATGACGAAGCATTCACGCTATACTTCGTGGAGTCACGCATAAAATTGTAGACAGTAATAATTTATTATGTTTAAAAACGCAAGCAATAGTTCAAGAGTTTTCTGATTGTCTGCTTTCTCCAATCGCTTTGACGAAGGGCTAACGCTCGAAACGTCAGCTTTTTTTACTCTTTACGGTGACCAATATACGTTTTCAACCCAGTTGTTAACAATAAATTACCTGCTCCTCAAAAAGTGACCGGTTCATAACTAACAGCTAATTATGTATGTTTTTTAATGAACCACCTATTTCAGACTACCCCTGGGAATTCCAAAAGAAAAAAAAGAGAAAAAATCTGAGAAGAACAGAAAAGAAAATATGAGGCGATAAAATTAACATAAGGCAGGTGCAGTTTGAACAATTTTTGGAAACTATGATCTTTATCGTGAATTCGAACAGCTCTTTCGACGTTCCCAACGTTTTCTTTTTTTTGTATGTAAGTGCAATTTTGCCTTTGTAATGAATGCGATCACTTTTATCAAAACCTTCGAAACACCGATGATATTTTTTTCACCTCTCAATCATAATTAAACACATTTTTTTTTTGTGTAAACACGTATCTTTAAAAAAATTATCTGCATGTAATGGCCATAGCTATTGCAGACACGTAACTCGTTTTATTTGCGTTATTCTAAGGCATGCAGATTAAGTTTTGAATTTGGGGAAAAAAATGGAGTTTTTAAAGTCTGACCAAAATTAAAACTTGTGCTCCAACTTGACCACGTTGCATCTGTTTTATGATCAAGAAAGCTGTTTTAACTGGTCGGAGCGTCCGTTATTTGTTATTTCAAATATTTGCCATCTTTTAGCAAGCTATGTCTTTTTCTATGTTTCAGTAGCCTGATAAAAGTGCAAAGACGAATAAAAAACCCGTGACGCAGCTCAAATGGATTTTGAAGAGTCTCCCAGGCAACCCTCTCCCTCGATTTAGCTATTTCTGAGAAATACGAGCGAATCTTAAACTTTTCATTCTTGTTTACATATTCCCGCCTAAACAAAGCTGTCAGCTATTAATGAAAAATAAAATGTTTCAGGCGACCATCCATGGCCATAGTAAATCGGTGGATCATTGCGGCGTGTAACCTTAATCTGTGGGTATGACCTATACACCTAGATCTTATTCCCTAAACACTCTTTTGTTTTGGTTTACGTTTACGTGTGTGATTTTTCAGTTCAAATTCATTGTAAGACTGCAGTTCAACTGCCTTCACATAGCAAAATCACTCATGTTAACATGTGAGTTCTTCTTTGTGGAGTTTCCATTGGTTGCAGATGGGAAAACAGTGCTAACTTTTCTCTTGAATCGTTCTCTTATCTGCAGATAGACAAGGAAAGTAACAAAAAAAGGCACTCAAATTCATGCAAGATTTTGAAACTTCTGCTCTACACAATCTTTTTTCCGTATAAAACTTACCTGGCTGTTTCGTACACAGTGCAGGGCAAAAATCAGAAAACCCTTAAAAAGAAAGACAGGTTTTCAAGATCAGTCTTTTTTTTTTATAATCGATTCTTCCAATATCTCAGAGGTAAATGAAGTAAATAAGGATAACATAAAGGCGGAAACAATTTTTTTTATCCATTTTTTCTTTATTATTAGTTTTATCCTATTATGTATTTTAATAATTATTGTAGCAAAGGTCATCTGACCATACTGAAATAGTCTGATTGTATATCATCTCTGGACACTTTGTATGGATATTTTTATTAATGAAATCACGTACCTGAGTAGAATTAAGGATGGTAAAAACGTAGTTGAAAGCTTTGTGTAATGGTGTCAGAAGACCAAATAACCATGTGACACCCAGCAAGGGAATCATAACCACGCATGCTCTAATGCCAAGTCTAAGGACGACAACAGTCTAAGATATGGGATTCTTAAAAGATCAATTGCAAATATCGTTAAAAGGATGATTTAGAAATTTGATATGATCTTCTTTTTTTTTTTTTTTACGTAATTTGGAAGATCCATCATACCGTATTTGCAGAATCTGCTTGTCTCCTGTTGGCTGCATTTTGGCCATCTCCCTTGTGACTCGAGCGAGTATCAAAATGTTGATCTTAAAGAGGAAGATATGAATAGAATTTTGTAATGAAGTATGGCTGTTGCACACAGTCATTCACAATAATGTCAAAAGAAAACATTTATTCAAATGCAAAACTTACAACTTCAATAATAATGACAAATGCGACAAATGTCCAGATCAAATTGTCATTTGAGGACATCCAGCAGCTAAAGGGGAAAAAATGGGGGAAGAAAGATGAAAAGAGAAAAATTAGGTCCCACAATATTCCTGATCAGCTTTGTATGTTACTTTCTAAAGTAACATTCGTTCAATGAAAGAAACTGTAGTTCGTAGGCTGGCCTATGAAGATTAAGCTCGTAAGAAGGAGATTAATGAAAATAATAAGGATAGGTAGGATATATAATCACATTAGAGCGAAACAAACTTTAAAAATTGAACAAACAAAATTAACAAAAATGAGTAATAAAAAGTTAAGATGTGCCCTTACTATTCATCGCTAGTATAGCTCTGTATCCCATCTTTTTCAGCAGCGATGCTCAATGAAGTGGCAACCATAATGACTGGCAAACCTATCAAGAAATTTAAGAGTTAATAAGCTTGATATAATTAGGTAACAAAATAATCCCTAACAATGTTTGATAAATTCAACCGAAAAATCAAAATACCCCATGAAATGACATGATACATGTGCATCTTGGTGTTGATGTTGTAAACTTTCACAACAAACAGGTAGAGGTAGATTCCCTCGACGAGCATCCAACAGAAGGCGGCCATCAGGAAATATTGCATTATAGCTGCCACTGTGACACAAATAGCCTTCAAAAGAAAGGGGGAAATACCTTTTTTCACATTTCATTCAAGGAGGATGTCTTCGAATAAAAACCACGTATGGTAGAGAGCCACCCACCGTTTTTTCTGTAGCTTTTATTCCAGCAAGAAAGATTATTTGTCCAGCTCCAAGGGACACAGAAAGACTTAGTCGTATTTGAGACAGAGGTTGTCGAATATCTCTGGTGAAAATTAAACACGTATTGATGTTAATATGTATATAAATAAAAGTATGATAAATCAGTAGAAACGCAAAGGAAGAGCGAGGTCAAACAAATCAAGTAACCATTAAAGGTAGGAACAACATACAAACAAACAAGCACTGAAAACCAAACGTGATATGAATAGCGACTTATAAATTTTACAACATAGTGAGTGTATGGAAATTGTAAAAAACATTGCCCATAAATTATTGTTATGTTTATTTCGAACTTTTTTTGAAGCGACTGAAAATATATGATGGTTGACAGCCTCTTGTAGTGGGTGTTGCTCACCATTTGTTGAACGCCGGTATTATTTAACGTCGTTAGTTCTGTTAGAAAATAAACCACTGATTACTTAGAAATAGCACTCACGTGAGTAAAAAGTATAAAGTTATTGTGGACAGAATTCCTATGATGGAAAGACATAATCCCACGTATGTGATGATCTCCAGAATAGTGACGTCCTTGGATGAGAGCTATGGCAAAGTTAAAATGAACAGTGGATTAATTGACCCAACACACTTATCACGAAGAAGAAAATTACAACAACAGTAAAAAAATACCTCTGGGCCACCGCTGAAGTCAACTAAGACAGCAAAATGAGTCAGATGATTGCATTTGCAAACTGTGTCTTCTGAGTTGCTCTTTATTGGATCTACATAACAACCATCTCCTGAAAACCCGTCTGGACTGAAAAAAAGAGTTTATGTTTTACATTCAGAGTGCTGACTCCCTTCGAATTGGCATTTAATGACTAAAAGTTATGAGTATGTGATTATTGTTACTTGCATATTTTTTTCCCAGTTACTGATAACTTAAAGGTAAGAATTCACCTTTGGTTGTCCAAAACATTTGTTATTGTTACTGAAAATGTCTTCTGAAATTCAGGGCTACTTACGCTCCGAATAACCGTTCAACTGATACTTTCCAATTTTCTGCTGAAATTTGGACCCAAATAGCAGATGATTTTTTAACAAAAATAGATAGTGGCTACTTTTTACCTCTTGCTGAGGCCACTCCAAAACATACAATGCTTCTCTCCTTCATCGACCTAAAAGAGATGTTATTTACTTTTGAACTAACCCAACGCAACGAAGATGAACTTAGTCAAGCATTCAGTGTTCATTATGTTACCTTCAAGTTTTTGAACTTCAAGATGACATCCTGTTGTAATTTTTCGGGCGCGGGATCCAAAGCTACAGTCACTATCCTGGTATTCACATACCTGTAAAGAAAATCGTGTCCTAACAATCTCTAAGATAATTTATTCACTATGCGCCTATTGAATTGTGGATTCTCTTCGGAAAATGAC